ATGGAGGGGTGCACATCCCAGGCACTTGTACTCCAAAAGGGAATTTTTAGAGATCTCTCAGCAGAAGAGAGGGGAAGGCATACTGGCACGGATGTTGTGAGTTTGGGATAGCAGCACTGCAGCTGTCCACTGACTAATGGGTGAAAAAAATCTATTAAGCCCCATAGGTAATGAGGATCAGAGATACTGGGGATGTGCTCAGTGACAAAATAGCAGGGGTCCTGTTTGGCAGGGTGTTGTCAGCCCTACACTGTATCAGTGGTTGTGTGCAGCAGTTCTAGCAGCATATGCAGACACTGCCAAAGCAGTGCCATCCCTCAGGAGTTGGTGTACAAGGAAGAAGGTTTTCATTTCCTGCAGCTCACGTGCTAATTACAGGATCTAGTCTGGATGAGGCAGCAGTAACTAAAAGTATCAAAATACGGCTTTTGAGAGGGGCACGTGTTTCACTGAAACCCTTGATTATACCAGCAGTCATGAGTGCTACTGGTAATATAGGTGTCCTAGCAAGTACCTTAGGGGAAATTTGGGCTCTAATTTCGGAACCAGTTGTGCTGGCAGTGGGTGAAAATCAGGCAGCAAAACTGAAGAGTTATCTCATGATAAGGAAGCAAATGTGGAATGATCTAGTGCAGTCCAGTGTCCCATGATCAGAAATAACATTAAAAATGTTTCGTCATTGACAAAAGTTAGTGCCTATGCAAAAAAATTCTTTCCCCCTGTCAGGTCAAAATGAGACACTACCTGGAAGATGCCAAAGCAGCAGAAATCGACTACAAAGAAAGTTGTTTGACAATGGACCAGAAAACAAGAAGAAGTCTCTGATGCCTGCAAAAATGCTTTGATTGAGCAAGCCCAGTTATACACTTCTAGGCAAGGAAACCCTTTTGAACTGAAAGTAACAGTTCTAGGTGATAAACTCTCATGGGCATTGCAGCAGACAACTAGGCTGAAAAGTCACAATCTGTAGGATTTTGGTCCAAGGCATTACAGGGCTCTGCTATTATAACCCCATGGAAATATGAATTAAAGCTGTAATTTGGGTATTGCAAGAAACAGAAAGAATCACAGGCCAGAATAGTGAGACTTTACACCTCTAGTATAAAACATGGTGAGGACTGAAATTCTTCCAGATGGTATCTCTCCCAAAATGTTAACCACAGGGTGAGTGGAATGGATTCTGTGCTGGGATTGCAATTTATTAATCTGTAAGTGACCATTCCTATAACAAGCTCTGACAATGCAGTGTGGTTCTGTACTCCACGTTCTCCCCTCCTACATCCTCTGCTGCCATCATATTCTCAAGTTCCTGTACTTCAGGAATTTTGATGATTTCCTGCCCCAGACCTGGTCAACAGTTTATGTCTAAAGCATCATACAGGTGTAACTCTACCTTTATACACCTTTGTCCTGTAGGATTAAGGATGGCAAAATGAATATATTTATATAAATAAAACAAATTAATTATTTAATTTGATTACAGTGATAATGCTTAGAGAAAAATACCTAACTTCTGGCACAGAGCACTATTTTTGAGGCAATATTTAAGCAATTATATTAAAGTTAGAAAAAAACAATTATAAAGTAGAGATTGATGTTACTCACCCATACCAGCAACTGTGGGCAAATCTCTTTCACTCAGCGTCAAGGCATAACCTTGGGGGGCATCCCCACTCAAGGGAAAAATCTTCACACACCCTAGGGAGGTGTGCTGAAGTCCTTGCCATGAAAAAATGGGACTGGCCTTTTATAGGATAAAGTCACTGACTGTCAGTCACATTTGTTTTTGCAGTATGTGTTGTCAGGCTTACTCAGCAAAATATCCTTTGCTGCTGAAAAAGGTGTGATCAGCTCTTTGGTTTCTCCTGCTCAACAGTTCTGCCTCTCCCTTCCACATCAGACCCTGCACATCCCTGCTGTTCCTGGCTTCACTCAGGGAGCACCTGTCCTGCATATACACCTGAGAGTTTGGTCAAGCTGGTCTCAGCCTTGAACATTAAAACCAGCAGACCCCTGCTGGTTCAATCCACCACTGAAAACTTGTGGTTAAGATGAAGTTCGAGCTGCTCTATTCCCATCCTGCTACACTCTTCAACATCACAAATGCTGTTCTGAGTTAGAGAGGATGTGCTACTTGGACAGGACTGCTGGACCAGGCAGCAAGGAGGACAACACTCAGCATCTTCAGGACTTCATACATTGAATCACACAACCTCTCAGTGGTGCCTGACTAACTGTGTGGTTTAATTCCCTGACAGGAGGGGTGGGATAGTTAACACAGAGCATTATATGTCTACATGTTTGTTCTTTCTTTAAGCTTTATTATGTACCTCTGTAAATTCCACATCTCCAGCCACAGCAGCCGTGGTTTCTTGAGCAAGGGGGTGGAATGCAGGGAGGAATGGGTTAAAAGTGGGAGATTGGCAGGAGGACTGGACATGGCTCAGTCATCTTGCAGCTGGGAACATCAGCTGGGAATCTGGTATGGACCGAGTTTGACCATGGCAATGTCCCCACCTGGGTGCCTCTGCCTGGGGCTTGTTTGGGGATCCCCCAGTTAGTGAGGGAAGGGAAATGAATTTACTCTTCATGTTTTAGCCATGGATTTGTGGCTGTCCCAGCTGCTTGCCTGTGCCCACTCACACATTTACATTCACACTTACGCAGCTACTCAGACACAGACAGGTTTAGGGCATAGATATATTTCTATGTCTCAGCTATTTTCACTTAGATGAGACCTATTTAGACAGAGACACATTCACCTATATGTATACACTTGTATAGAATGACTAGTCAGCCTTATTTCTATTTACACTTTTATGTGTCTATTCAGACTATGCCTGTTTACACTTCTATATATTTAGATCATATATTAACACATTGCATAGAAAATATATTTAGACTAGAGACCTGTTTGGACTTAGATATTTAGACTTACATCTATTTACACATTGGTCATTTCCAGATATCTATTTGGTATCTATTTACAGTTATGTATAATCTCTATTTAGACTACATATATCACCTCCTTTGACTATAACACGTAACAAGAGTAGATGGCTCTTTCTTTTCTAAATTCCTTCATATATAACTCTAAGATGCTTTTATGCAGTTTTTTTAGTTTCATAAAATTTTTTTTAGTTTTAATTTTTTTTTTTTAAATTTGTAATTGAATATTATTTTCAATGTATATAACAATGAGATATTCCTCTTTCTTTCAATCCTTTCAACACTGTTAACAGTTCAATGGTTTTTCTTCCCTCTCCATGAATTTTCATGCGTTTTTGGGCTGTGACACTTTCTGCGTGGGAGTCCCCCACGGACCCCTCATCCTCCCCACACCTGCTGCACCACTGCCCGCCCCCCACGCTGACATTCGGTTGTCCCAAAAGACATCATCTCACCCCAATCTCCCAAAGAGGCACAAAACAAGGGAAAGAGCTCCCACAACTGGCAGCTCATTAAATTAACACTGCCTAAAAGAGACAGACCCCCCTCCAGAAAAAAAGGGACATCGCCCCCAACAGCTCCAGTCCTTGCACTGCTGCTGCACAACACGGCTGCTTCGTCAGTAAAACTGGAACTGAAGTGTAAAACTTTGAAAGAGTAAAATAAAGAACAAATCTCAGTAACTCACTTTATACTGAAGAGGAGGGTGTCTGTTTATACAAATCCAGGAAGGATACCCCCATGATAGAAGTGTTTGATTTTCCTTTTGCATTAAGCTGAACTGGCACAGCTGTGAACTAGTGCCATTAAATTTTCCATCTCCAAAACACAGGGATTTACCTTGACCGGGGGTTTTTGTGCTCCACGCTCAGGAACAACTTCTGGCCAGAGCTGCCCTGCTCAAGAGAGATCCTGCAGCCGTCACCACCTGTGGCACCAAAGGTACCAAAAGAAACAAACCTACCCCTGTGCTCGTGAGGAATCCCCAGCCCTCAGCTCCTCCTCGCTGTGCCCCAGCTCGCCCCAAATGCTCCTCCCATTCCAAGGGCTGCCCACACAGCATCTGCAAAGCCAAAGGGAAATGCTTAACACAGCTGCCACATGTTTCTCTGCTCTCAAGACACCAACACAGCCAAACAACCACATCACCTCCTTGGAACCTCTGATCAGAGTGTGGCTTCGCCTCTTCTTAACACAGGACTCAGAATCTTCCAGAACACGGTTTTGTGGATGCCAATGGAGCTGTGTGATCTCCTCTTGTCTCCAGAGAGCCATTCCATACTGACCAGAAGCCCCAAGAAATGCGCCTACTGGGGAGGAATGAAACGTTTCCAGCAGATGCTCCTCCACAGAAAAAGCTCTGAGGGTCTCAGGCCCAGGCCAGGCGCTGTGTCAGTGTTTGGGGACTGGGACCAGCCTGCCCTGACTGCAGCAAACCCTGCAGAGGGGTGGGCTGGGAGGGAGAAGCCCAACCTGTGGTTATGTGGCCACAATGGCCATCAGGGATTGAATCTCTGGGTTGCTTTCCATAGTCAGCAGCTTGGAGGAGCTTTGCCCGGGGCAGCAGGGAAAGGCAAAGAGGGTGCAGGTGGAGCTGTTGGCAAAGGCTGCGAGTGGGGAGCTCCAAGGGTGGCACACGGAGCCAGCCAGGGGGTTCTGGAGAGGCGTGCACGGGCTGTTCATGGAGGAACATGTGCCCAGAGGAAGCCCCGCGGGCCCTTCTGCCACCAGAGGCAGCCGCCTGAAGACGCGGGCACAGGGGAGCTCTCGGGGCTCCCTGGAAATGCCAGCAGGGCTGTTTCGTTACTGCCTTTGCGCCAGGGAGGTCGGGACGCGTCAGGATCCGAGGGCGGCACAAAGCTGGAGCCTGTCCGGGGCGGGGGGAGTTGAGCTGAGCGAGCCCAGCGCCGTGAGGGACAGCCCGGGGGTCCCGGGGAATCCATCCCCCATCCTCCGCCACCAGGGGGCAGCACAGCGCGCTCGCTCTGCGCAGGCGCGGAGTCCTCGCTGCAGGGCGGGGTCGGACTCCATTTCCCGGCGGGCCGTGGGAGGTCGCGAGGCGCGCTTCGTGCGCGTCACTTCCGGTACGTGTGCGCTGACCTGGCTCTGTGGCGGTGGCGGCGGCGGGCACGGTGAGGGCGGCCGGGCCGAGCGGGGCCGGGCTGTGGGGGAGGCTCGGCTGTGGGGGAGGCTCGGCTGTGGGGGAGGCTCGGCTGTGGGGGAGGCTCGGCTGTGGGGGAGGCTCGGCTGTGGGCTCTGAGGGGCGGGGACGGACCGGGCTGCGGGTCCCTGTGCTGCGTGGAGGGGCAGGAGCAGCCCGGGCTGGACACGCTGGTGCGGCCGGAGCGGGGCAGGACTGGGGGGAAGGAAGGGGCCTCTGGCACAGGCAGCGGGTCCGGCTGGGCAGGGGGGACCGTGACAAACCCAGGTGGGTCAGCGAGGCCAAGGGCAGGTGGTGAACGTGCGCCAGGGCGACCCTGAGCATAAACACGGGCTGAGGGAGAATGGCTGGAGAACAGCCCAGAAGAGAAGGACTTGGGCGTGTGGGGTGACAAGAAGCTCAACATGACCCAGCCACATGCAGGGGGAGCCCAGAAAGCCAACGCTGTGCTGGTCTCATCCCCACAGTGTGGGCAGCACCTGAGGGGAAATTCTGCCCCTCTGCTCTGCTGAGGTGAAACCCCCCCTGCAGAGCTGCCTCCAGCCCTGGGGCCCTCAGCACAGCAAGGACCTGGAGCTGCTGGAGCAGGTCCAGAGAAGGCCACGGAGATGCTCCAAGGGCTGGAGCCCCTCTGCTCTGGAGCCAGGCTGGGAGAGCTGGGGGTGTTCACCTGGAGAAGGGAGGGCTTCAGGGAGACCTGAGAGCCCCTTCCAGAGCCTAAAGGGGCTCCAGGAGAGCTGGAGAGGGACTGGGGACAAGGGCCTGGAGTGATTGGACAAGACTTCCCACTTCCCCACCAGAGGGCAGGGTTAGATGGGATACTGGGGTGAAATTCGTCCCTGTGAGGTTCATGAGGCCCTGGCCCAGGTTGCCAAGAGAAGCTGTGGCTGCCCCATTCCTGGAAGTGTTCAAGGCCAGTTGGATAGAGCTCGGAGCAACCTGGTCTAGTGGAAGGTGTCCCTGCCCATGGCAGGGGGTGGAACTGGATGGGCTTCACAGTCCCATCCAAGCCCAACCACTCTGTGACTGTGGAGAGTGGAACCCCTGCCACTGAAGCAGTTCTTGCCTGTCAAAGCCCTACCAGGTGTCCTCACAGGTCCTGTTTATAATGTCCATGGTCTCCTTGTCCTCTCAACAGGGCAGCTCCTGGGGTTTGGGTTTGGGTGAATTGGGACACCTGTCCCGGAGCAGGGACTTGTGGGGATCATGAGGCTGCTGGAGGGAGTTGGTGGTTCCTCAGTGGCTGAAAGTAGTAAATAAGAACAAATGTTGGAAGTGAGGAGCTGGTGCTCTCTGAGAAGAACTAACTCGGTCGTGTAAGACAGTGCTGGAAAAGCTGCCAGGCTTCACAAGGGCAATTAACTGTTAATTGCTCAAACTGGTGAAACTGTTAATTCCCAGAGCTTTCAGAGTTACTGGAAGAGACTTTGCGATCCAAGAGCTTTGCCCATCGCTGAGATGTGCAAAGCCAGGAGTTGGATGTGATGATCCTTGTGGGTCCCTCTCAGCTCGGCACATTTGGCGATTCTGTGAAGGGCAGAGATATTGGCTGGGGCTTTGAAAAGGGAGGAAACTTTTGACTTTTCTTCAGATCTGGGACATGGCTGTGCCAATTCTTACATCGTCCCAGGAAATTTCAGAGATTTCAAACGTTCCACTGACCTGTGTTTGCAGATGAAGCTCCTGCTCCTCGCCCTGTGTGCCCTGGTTCCCGTGTCCCGCTGTGAGGATGGTGCCAGGCTCCTGGCCTCCAAATCCCTGTTGAACAGATACGCAGTGGAGGGCAAGGACTTGACTTTGCAGTACAACATCTACAATGTTGGCTCCAGGTAAGCCCTGCCCAGGCTTCGGTATGAACCAGTAGCAAACATTCCATGTGTGGCTGCAGGGCAGGAGGTGATTTCTGAGCTCCATGATCTGCTAGTGCCTTTGCTCCCTTGAACTCTGAGCTTTCCAGCAGTGCCTAAAGGATTGACCTTGCAATTTGCCTTTTCCTTCCTCTTCCCTAGTCCCTGCTTTCCCCACGTGGTTGCTCAAGCTGGCAGTCCAGCATGGACATGTTGCTCCTGTGGTGTTCTGGGACACTCTGCTCCCCGTGCACACAGCTCTCTTGACTCGCTTTGTGGGCTCTTTTGCACATTGGACTCCTATAATATTAATGAGATACTGTAACTTTGTAGGTGGGATTTGTTTATTATTCAGGCCGAAGCATGTGTCTGTGGGATGGTATCTATCTGCCAAATTCTGTTATAGAAAAACTAGTGTGTTTCCTGTCTTTGTGGCTGCTTCTCTCAGCTGTGCCTTTCTCTCTCTGCAGTCTCCCCATAAGACACCTCAGCTCTCCTCACCATGTTGTGTTGGTGACTTTTCCTCTTTCACAAATTAGTTCTTCCATTGGGTCGGGAGGGAACTGTCAGCCTGCTTTGCTGTAGATCCTGTGAGCAGATGCCAAGTCTTAAGATTCCGTTCTTATCCCTGCCTTTGTTGTGTCCAGTGCTGCCCTGGATGTGGAACTGTCGGATGATTCCTTCCCCCCAGAGGATTTTGGCATTGTCTCTGGCATGCTCAACGTCAAGTGGGACAGGATCGCTCCGTATCTTTTAATGGTTTGAAATGTTCTTCCCCCTGAGCATCCTGCAGCTTCCTCCTGTCTTCATGCCCTGTCCCAGAAATTCCCACGTGCCAGAGCCTGGACAGGGTGCCCAATCCAAACACCCGTTCTTTTGGATGGTGCTGTGTAAAAATAAAGCTCCTTGCAGACAGGAGCAAGTCCCTGAGCAAGTTCCTCTGCCTGGGGAGGAGCAGCTGGGTCAGCCTGGGGGGGAAGTGGGTCAGGCTGTGACCTTAAGCATTCTGTGACCATAAACCCTCAGATCTGTCAGCACTGCCTTTTCCACTGTGTTTTCTCCCTGCAATGAAACCCAACCGTTCCCCTTAACGCCCGGCTCCCAGAGCGAGTAACGTGTCCCACACTGTGGTTCTGAGGCCTCTCAAAGCTGGTTACTTCA